GTGTGATTAATAAAATGATGCCCACATAGGATTTGCAAATATTAAATACTATGACTAAAATAATGAATTCCTTAATTTTTCCTGTAAACCATTGGGGGAAAAAGAACTTTATTTGTTTGGGGGAAGAAAGGAAGCTGCAGCTCTTTCCTAATGTAACGTCCATAAGTTTCAAGGTCCAATTAAAATTTCACTTTCTCTAGAAAATTGCTTTCCTTCCTCACTCTTGCCCTTTCTAATAATATTAGTCCTAGCTTCCCTTTACTGAACACTCACTATGCTCTTGGGAATATGTCAAGTCATTCATAAACCTGATCAAACTTCATTTTGACAACAGTTCATGAGGTAAATGTAATTAGCTCCACTTAACAGATGAGACTGAGACAGGTAAGTTAAGCAACTTGACCAGATCACATGGCTATTAATTAAATCAAAGCTGGAACTGCCAGGTTACAAACCTGCTAACCTGTAATCCTATACTATATGAATCCATCTTTAAAAATATTTTATTCTATTTTTTTGACTTTTATTTTAATTTCAGGGGTACATGTACAGGTTTATTCTATAGAGAAATTACCTGTTGTGGGTCTTTGGTGTACATATTATTTTGTCACCTAGGTAATAAGTATAGTGCTCAATTGGTAGTTTTTTTGTTTTGTTTTTTTGAGACAGGGTCTTGCTCTGTTGCCCAGACTGGAATGCAGTGGCGCAATCTCAGCTCACTGCAACCTCTGCCTCCTGGGGTCAAGTGATTCTCCCACCTCAGCCTCCAGAGTAGCTGGGACAACAGACACATGCCACCTTGTCTGGCTATTTGTTTTTGGTATTTTTTGTAGAGATGTGGTTTTGTCTTTTTGCCCAGGCTGGTCTTGAACTCCCAGACTTAAGTGATCCTCCTGCCTTGGCCTCCCAAAGTGCTAGGATTACAGACATGAGCCACTGTGCTCGGCTGACAGATAGTTTTTTGATCCTTGCCCTTTTTCCATCCTCCACCCTCAAATAGGCCCTGATGTCTATTGTTCCTTTCTTATGTCCATGTGTACTCAAAGTTTAGCTCCCATTTATAAGTGAGAACATGTGGCATTTGGTTTTCTGTTCCTGTGTTAATTCACTTAGGATAATGGCCTCCAGCTCCATCCACTTTGCTGCAAAGGACATGATCTCATTCTTTTTCATAGCTGTGTAGTATTCCATGGTGTATATGTACTGCATTTTCTTTATCTAGTCTACTGTTGATGGGCATTTGGGTTGATTCCATGTCTTTGGTATTGTGAATAGCACTGCAATGAACATATGTATGTATATGTCTTTATGGTATAGTGATTTATATTCCTTTGGGTAAATATCCAATAATGGGATTGTTGGGTTAAATGGTAGTTCTAAATTCTTTGAGAAATTGACAAACTGCTTTCCGCAGTGGCTAAACTAATTTACATTCCCACCAACAGTGGGAGCTTTTTAATAACAGCTCTCTGACTGATATGAGATGGTATCTTACTGTGGTTTTGATTCATATTTATCTAATGATTAGTAATGTTGAATATTTTTTCATATGTTTGTTGACTGTGCATATGTCTTCTTTAGAAAAGTGCTTATGTCCTTTGCCTACTTTTTAATGGAATTGTCTGTTTATTACTTGCTACTTTAAATTTCTTATGGATTCTGGATACTAGATCTTTGTTAGACGCATAGTTCACAAATATATTCTCCCATTCTGTGAGTTGTCTATTTACTCTGCTGATAGTTTCTTTTGCTGTGCAGAAGCTGTTTAGTTTAATCAGGTTCCATTTGTCAATTTTTGTTCTTGTTGCAACTGCTTTTCGTGTGTTCGTCATGAAATCTTTGCCAGGGCCTATGTCTAGAATGGTATTCCTAAGTTTCTTCAAGAGTTTTTGTAGTTTTGGGTTTTACACTTAAGTCTTTAATCCATCTTAAGTTGATTTTTGCGTACGGTATAATATAAAGTAGGGGTCCGGCTGGGCATGGTGGCTCACGCCTGTAACTCCAGCACTTTGAGAGGCTGAGGCAGGCGGATCATGAGGTCAGGAGATCAAGACCATCCTGGCCAAAATGGTGAAACCCTATCTCTATTAAAAATACAAAATTAGCTGGGTGTGGTGGCACAC